GGCAGCATTAGTTAAGAGTAATGAATCTAGTTTAAGTGATATTTCTCACCTTTTAAGACATAAAAAGTAGGTGGACTCTGCTGTCTCAAAGCTGGCTGTTTTTCATTGTAGGTAGAAACAGAAAGTCTTCACTTAAGGTGAATAAGAGGGGAGAAAGGCCGCAGAAGTTTAAATACTCTCTCTCTTCGTCACCATGTTATGCAGAATACTGTCTCTGAACACAATATGTGGTAGCAGTGTTGCTACTGCAGCAGACACACTTGCAAGCAGGAGACAGGAATTATATTTATATCTTGCAGAAGCTCATCATAATTGAAAAATAACAAATTAAAAAAAAAATTGACAGATCAAATGAGACCGAATTTCAGCAGGTTGTCAAACTAGAATGTGGCAAGAATATGATAGCATGTATCCATACTGTCTTATACCAATAGTTCAGGCTGATGATGGTGGTCTATTGGTGTGGGGTAATATTGTCTTGTCACACTCTGGACCTCAACTGAGCATGTTTTTAATGTTACATTCTATTTCAGAGTTGTCCACCTCACATTTAACCAATCAGCTTCTTTAGGCAGGTTAACACAACATGTTACAAAGCTAAAATTGGCTAATATTGGTTGTTGGCGCATGACCTAAAATTCTCTATCCTTCATATACGTCAACAGAGAAGAGATCTTAGTACACCTTTGGGATTTCTGTGAACAAAATATTTGAGGAATATTTCTGATATCTTTCTGAATCTATGTCATGAATTATTAAGGATATTCATAAGGCAAAAGGCTTTTTTTTTCCAAGGCTGCACTTTAAAAAAAGATGAAATTGTCCTGAGAAATGTTTCAAACGAAATTTCTTTTTGTTTTACACTTGTGTAAACAAAATGACAAATAAATCTGTCTAAGTCTAAGTCTCTAAGTCTAACTGCCATAATCTAATGTATTATTCTGTCCTTCAAGACTATTATTACGAACTCAGACTGATTGTCATGGTTGTGGGTTGTGGAGGCACGGCCTTCAGGAGGACAGGGGTTTGGAAATCCAAAACAGCTAATTCAGAGTAGGCCTGAATGAGGAGATTTTTGGTAAAGACGATTTGCCTAATCTAGGTAGAATTTTTTTCTGCACAGATGACAAAAAAACATGCTCTAGGGGCCTCATTGTTATTTTGTTGTTTTCAAATGTAGAATAATATGGGACCTTTTAAGGTTACAAAACATGATAGGTTAAGTGGCTTCAAATGTGTAGCTCCACACTGAAAAGTATGCCAGTTAAGGCAATTTAATTAAACTCCGAACAAGGAAAATGGGATGAATCTACAAAATCAAAGCAGAATCAAGGACAACAAAATGCATTTTATATGATAAGTTCAACCTTCCCTTTGGTAAGCAAAGAGAAGAGATAAGTAGGGATAGTTTAATATTTACTGGCTTGAATTACTTTAATCATATATAACAGTATATATATATATATATATATATATAT